ATGAATATGAACAGATAGAAAATGGAAAGTAAGGCTCCTTGAACGGCCCTCATTTTTGCTTTCAGTAACTAGAGTGAATTCCAGCCCTTCTCAAAGGAGATAAAGAAGCCCAAAGAAGAAACAGAAACGAAAATCAAGTAAACTTTTTCAAGCAATAAGGGGGCTCATTTTCGTGCCTCAACATAGCCTAAAATGTCTACTTTGGTATCTACATCATTTAGTTTATTCTAGGTTTTAGATATATAAGAGATATAAATCCACAGGAGAATGAATCCCAAACTATATTATGTACGATAATCTCAGAGAAAAAAAAATCAGATGTCTTTCAGTTGTATTATCTATGACACTATTTACATACTTACATTGTTCCTTATTCATGGACTCACGTCACAACATCTTAACTTATCAAATAAATGATCAAAATTGGTCAAATAAAACAAACCTTTTTTCTAATATCAAGGCGTGGCATAGGGGTACAGCAGGCTGAATAGACCCCCAAAAATATCAGGTCCTTATCCCTGAAACCTATCAATGTTCCCTTATCTAAGAAAAGGGTCTTTGCAAATGAGATTAAGTTAAAGATCTTAAGATGAGGAGCTTGGCCTGGATTATCAGGGTGGACCCTAACTGCAATCATTCCTTTTCTTGTAAGAGCAAGGTAGAGGGAGATTTGACACCTGGCGGAAAAGGCGATGTGAGGATGGGGCAAACAGACATTTGAAGATGCTGCTCTTAAATACTGGAGAGATGCAACCATGAGCCAAGTAACGCCAGTGGCCAACAGAGCTGGAAAAGGCTAGGGACAGATTCTTCCCCAGAGCACAGCCGGCAGGCAGGCTCCTTGATTTCAATCCAGTGATGCTGATTCAGAATCTGACCTCCAGAGAGAGAACATATTTCTGTTGTTTTAAGCCACCCAGTTTGTGGTAATCTGTTACAGCGACCATAGAAAACTAGTACAAGGGAGGTCAATTCGGGGAACATTGGAACCCATTTTAACATCTATCTACATCTAGGAGTAACACATAATTCAAAAGGACAGAAATGCATAACGTTCTAAAACAATAAGGCAAGTGTGTTATATTTGAGCCTATCTTCCAGGTCATATCATGCCAATGTTAGACAATTCTTCCGGAATGTACCCAGATGTAGAACCCAAATAACCAATTTCTTGATTATATCTAATGTAGGTGTTAATTTTGAAATATTATTTTGATCAAAGTTAAGACATCTGACAAATCATTTTAAAGCTGATCTATACTGCTGATTCAGCCTATCTATCTCCTTCCATACTCCTAGCCACTTATTCAATAGTGTAAATAAACAATGACCTATAAACAAACCTGAAAAACTTAGATCTTAAAAAAAACATGTAAAGTACTAAGTAAAATAGAAAATATCACCCAGTTTAAAAGCAAATTCCAGTAGATACTGGTACTTGACTATCTTGTCTTACTCATCTTTTTTAACCTCCATGACAAAACTGAATGTACTGCATGTCAGAAATAGTGAATAAAGATTTGGTGAAAGAATACATTAAAAATTGCAAGAGAAGTAATGTAGAAAGTAGGTAGAACTATCTGACCACATGCTATGCCAGGTTTTGGCAAACAACAGCCTAAAGGCAAATGCCAGCTGCCACCTGCCACCAGCTTTTGTAAATAAATTTACTGGAACCCAGCCATGCTCAGTTCCTTCATGCGCTGTCCACGGCTGCTTTCTCACTACGACAGCAGAGTTCAGTTATTGTGACAAAGACATCTGGCCAAAAAAGCCTAAAATATTTACTGTGCGTCTCTTTACAGAAAAAGTTTGCTGACCCCTACCCTGTGCTAGACCATCTAGAAGGGCAGGTAATGATTACTGAGTGTTTCCTGGTATATTTACACTGTACTGGAGGCTAAGGAGAGAGGTTGATAATCTCTATTCTCAGAAAACTCACAGTGCAGCAAGCGAAAGAAAAATGCATACCCAGCTAACATTTAAACTGTGGCAAGTGGGCTAAGATAGGAAAATAAACAGTTTTATATAGCAAACAAGGAACCGTTAAATGGAGAAGGATTCATGGAGAAGCAAGTTTATTCATGTGAAACATATAATCAAAATGAGGCTTTCCTCACAAAACAGAATCATCTGATCACAGGCAAATAGGAAAAGAACAGTTGCTAGCTGGGCACAGTAGGGTGTGACTGTAATCCCAGCTATTGATACCTGGGAGGCTGAGGCAGGAAGATCACC